TATATAAAATATACTAATATATAATAATGGATTCTATATTGGATATATGCAAATTAGCAAAACAGAAATGCAATACTGTCACCCAATTTAGTATGTGATAGAGCAATTTGGTGTAGGTCATGAGTGTATAATGAAAAGAAATGGTAGAAAGTGGAATTATTAAATAGAGAATAATAATTTATTGGTACTGTATTTTCCTATTCTGTCCTATTAAATATTACAATTTGGTATTAACTTTTGAAGGGCTGTGTGCAGCCTTGAAACTAATAGATATTTTTGTTGCAAAACCCCCCAGATGGGATTCTCTCAACTGTAAAGTGAACCTTCAAGTGTTTATTAAATATTGGTTGTAGGTTATAGCAGTGTTTCTCAACCTCAGCAACTTTAAGATGTGTGGACTTCAACTCCCAGAATGTGTGGAGTTGAAGTCCACACATCTTAAAGTAGCTGAGGTTGAGAAACACTGGGTTATAGTCATAGATATGGAAGATGTTCATCATAAAATAGCTCACCTTTCATGTATCAAGTAATTTCTCTGCTGCAGTGGTTGATGGCTATCTTTAGAAAGACAGCAGGATTCTCTCATGTAGAAAATGGGCAGCAGTGCAAGAGGAGAAGCATGGAGTGGGGAATGACTGAGTTTACTAAAAATTCTTTAGTACAGTTTTGCTCATATATCCATGATAAAGGCACAGTTTAACCTAGCAGAGAAAAAAAAAATGGAGGATCATTGTGTCCTAGGATGTAAAAAAAAAGTCCAGTCCTTCGTAATAACTTTCCTGACCACAAGTAAACCTAGAAGAAGCTGGAGGGAGAAGGTTAGTCTGATCTATCAGCAGGAGGTCTGATTTCAGCCAGGAGGACCAACTGTTGTGTGGGAGTTTGGCACCCCTCGCTCAGGCATGTCGAGCCATTCTTGCTAGAGGGACTTGGAGAATTATTTGGACCATTTTATAATATGCCTCCCAACATTTCTGTGTCTCAAGAGAATTGAATTATTGTACAACTATAAAACAAATTTGTTTGCAGTATGCCTCTTATATTGCAAAAAATATTTGCACTAAAACAGCATCAGGTATTTTATTGATATGATTACTGGGCAGTTTCAGAGGAAAAATGCTGCTTTTCTTATGTGTGTGCCTCTTAAAAAGGATGGACATTTTCCATGTAATTTTCTTAACATTCCAGCCATGCTTGTGATTTAGTAACTTTGGTATATTTCCTATTCGCTCCTTTCCTTAATTAGTGATTATATCAGATAAGTACTGGGAAGGGAATTTGGTTAAAGTTTTTATGTCATCCTGTGCATTTAACTGCATAAAATTCAGACATATGTGTGGTTCAACAAAAGTTGATACAATTAAAATTTCATTTCTTTAATATCAGTGCTAGGGACACATAGCCTTTTGCCAAGGAAAGCACTTAACACTTTTAAAGAATTGTGGTCTTTCCTCCCCCCCCCCCATTGTTCATCAAGCTTTTGAAAATATATTTTTATTATTTAAAAAAGTGTCAGGGTTTTAGTAACAGTTTTTATGTTGTAATGTGCCAGGAAATTGCACCACTAATT